CACACACACACACACACACACACACACACACACACACACACTCCACCCCACTCTCTCACAATCTCTTTGCACTCCCCCCCACACTCTCACTCTCTCTCTCCCCACACACACTCTCTTACCCCCCCCACTCTCACATTCTCTCTCTCCCCCTCTCTCACACACACCCCGCCCCACTCTCCCACATTCTCTCTCCCCCAATTTCATATGCTCTCTCTCCCCACACACACTCTCTTACCCCCCGCCACTCCCACACAATTCTCTCTCTCCCCCTCTCTTACGCACTCACCCCCCACCCCATCACACACACACGTGAATCTATGGGGTGAATTTGTATTTGCAGAGACATTTTATTTTGTTCAAAAAACACACAATTTATAGACAATCAGTCAATATATGACATTTTATAAATTCCTACTTTAGAAATAAAACCAGTCTGACTCCAAGCTAAAACACAAACTGATTCTAAACAAGATCTCATACCTAACATCCATTGTCTGACCTAAAATGTCACCTCTTCTTTACACTGATAAAACCTTTAGTTCTCTCAGACTGTGACTTGAATTCGGAGATTTACATATACATATTAATCAATTAAAACCTTCTAACTGATTAAAGATTTAACAGCATCTTAGGTTTGTTTGGTACATCCTCATCAATGGTGTGAACCCTTGATATTTTACATATAAATTCTGTATCTGATACTACCTCTCTCATTAACATCTAAAGGAGGACTGAGGCTCTGAAAACTTGTGTTTCCAAATAAACCTGTTGGACCATAACCTGGTGTTGTGTGATTTCTGACCTTGTCCACCCCAGTCCAACACCAGCATCTCCACAACATAATTTTAAACCTCCATTAAATCTCTTGGCCTTCTCTGCTCCAGCAGGGAAAATCCAAATGTAAACATAGGCCTCTGCATGATCTGTATTCTACAGCTTTGTGGTATAATTCCCAAAATGTCTTCTACAAATTTGATGCTACCCCTTTGCTGTTGTATTCAGTACCCAATTGATGAAATATGATAACCTTTTGGCCCTCATTTATGGCTGTATCTCCTTTCGTGTGTGAATTTGAACCTCTCAATGTTTCTTGGACACTTCAATGTTAATTATAAATCCCATTCCTTACCTTTCAGCACATGCAAATGTCAAATTGCCTGTGCACCTGCTCACTTGCCTGGTTACATTCTGGCAGTTTGCCAAACCCACTCCATTGTGTCATCAGCAAATTGCAATATTTTGATCACTATTCCAAGTTTTGATCTCCTTGTTAGACCCAGCTACGTTCTGAAGCACATTGCCTCAGTCCTTTCTCTCATCTGAGTAGCATCCATTAACCTGAGCCTTTTCTTTCTACTCTGTCACCAACTTACTATTCATCAGTTACATTAAAACCGTATTCCTGAATCCTGGCAACCAGGCTCCAGTTCTGGTTCTCTGTTATTCAACCCTCTGCCCTCCAGTCACGGAGATCAGAACTGCAATGCTACTGTGATTACACTTCCACAAGGCTGAACTGAACTGATCTTCTGAAGAACAGTCTAGGCCCGAAATGTCAGCTTTCCTGCTCCTCTGATGCTGCTTGGCCTGCTGTGTTCATCCAGCTCTACACCTTGTTATCTCAGATTCTCCAGCATCTGCAGTTCCTATTATCTCTGAACTCTGATGTCCTGGTGTCAGTGGACTGTGGGTTAATATTAAAAGTTGCACTCTGAAACATGTTGACCTCAACATTTTAAAAGCTATAAACAAAACTAAGCACTCACATAACTAACAGACTAGAACAAAGCTCTGTAACATTGGGTCATATCCTTTAAAATAAGTTATGAAGCCTCTAGCAGGAGTCTCCATGAACGTAAGAGCAAAAGTGAGTCATTCAGCTCGTCAAGCCTGCTCTGACATACAGCTATCCAAACTATCCTCTATCTTTCCTGTACTATCCCCATATCTCTTGCTATATTCACATTGTAGAAAGTATCTAAAAAAACTTTATCTTTACAATCTTAGAATTCACCATCCTCAACTATACAGTTGACAAACGTTATTAGTTACAAGTGTCTTTAATTAAAATGTCAGGCATTCTACCCACAGTTTCCATCATTGTAAATAAGGCTATAGATTCTGATCGTCCCAGCTGTGGTGCTGAATTCTGTCACCCAGCAATAGCCCCCTAATTAGGATCTTCTTGTGTGACTAAAATAAAATGAAAGCACAGGAAAATGAGGCTTGGCCAATTTCAGTAGTATCAGCTTACTCCCTGTGCTCAATTTTTGGGTTCTGCCAGACTTCTTTTCAGCCTCAATCTAGACTTGTAAATGCCCAAGTAAAGATGTGTGTCTTCTTCTGTGATATTGAGGCAGAATTTCACTATGACCATCAACAAAATGTAGATTTAGTGGCTAGTGTTATAAATTGTCCAACTAAGTATTACTGCTTCAGTAC